TTGTCATTATGGCAAAAGGAGTCAAAGTGTCTAAAAGAATAAGTCCTAGTCCAGCACAGACTCTGTTAAAAAAAGTATTCATTTGCAGTAGGAAGAAAACCCAAGGACCGAGTCCAAGGGAAGCTTGTCAGAAGGTGGGATAAAAGTAAGTGGAGGTAAGTGTCATATGCACCAGGAACTATGAGAAATGTGCTTCTTTTGAGGGAAGGGAACAGTTTCTCAAGGTGATTTGAAAAGGCTCTTGCTCAATGAACCAATGTCCATGCCAGCTATACAATCTGGGATTGAAACTGTAAATCAAATAATGTCAGAACAGCCTGAGCAACAAAGTCTTGGTTTGGGTGAGTAAGAGTCTGCATTGGACTGAGTAGCTACTTTTTCTCTAAGACATCAAGTTGGTCTCTGTGTTAATTCTTCACAGGTGTCGCAGTGGCGGACTCCCACAGGGAATTGTTGGAGTACCTGCAGCCTGGTGAGGCTGGGCTTCCCAGGCTAAAACAAAGACCAGTTCATGCATGCAGTTCTTTGTCGTTTAATTGCTGTATCAAGTATGACCAGCAAGCTCTATGGGGCTGTAGGGTTTGTGTCCTCCACCCTGCCATGCACACACTGTGCGTTAGAATCACTGATAGAAGGGGCTGGGTAGTAAAGCTCAGTGGGGATCCCTAAATCTAGAGATGCAGAGGCACAAGCCTTCACAAGAAGAAAGATTAGCAGCCAGCAGTGTTTATCAGCACAGCCACACAGTGGGAGACAAAACATTAGGAGTTAAGCCCATGTGCTAAAGTTAAAAAAATGTATTTTCTGTTCAGCCACTCCAACATACTTTGCAACTGTGGGCTACTCTACTTTAGGGACTGATGCTTCTCTTCATAAATACTGTTTTGTGGAAGCTGCCTGTCTCCACAAGTGATGGAAAGTAAACCATGCATGAAGATGAGATAACAGCTAAAATTAAGTATACACTGGTAAGACCAACTTTGAGCTTTATGATTAGGTACCAAGTAAGATTCTAGTCCAATTAGTGTCAAGTTTTCTCTTTTCCAATATAATTTATGGCTTGGCTAAGTGTATAAAAGCATATAAATCTAAAGTTGAAGTCTTAGCCTCAGTGCTTTCTCCAAACATATATGCTCAACAACAGCAAATGCTTTATCTAAATTTATGTTTCAGAGGCTGCTTTGACAATTTTAAGAGCCACTCTATTTCTGTCTTAATCTAAAATTACCTAATGATGATGGTAAGCTGTTCCATTGCTTTAGAGAATCATCCTAAAAGCTGAGGTACTGATCTGGATTAGAGAGGAATTCATGCCCAAGGTATCTACCAAAGGATCCAAGGCCAGGAAGGTTTACTCATCATTAGTTGCAGTGGCTATTTAGAAGTTGGTAACATGGATCTGAATTGTCTCTTCCAAAGTATTTTGATGTGTCAAGGGAATGAAAGAGGAGGAGAAAAGGGATTCTTTGTTAGTTCTACCATCTCTTTTGCCTGAACTAGACAGCACGAGTAGAGATTTGGAAGGGGAGAAAATGTGTTTTAAAATTTCTGGTTTAGGATTATGCAGTAAGTATGTGCTTTGTTAGAGTTCCAAATGTCTGCCATTCACAGTTTCTACAAACTTCATGCTCAGTTGTCAAAACTTATGCAAAACTGTGAAGGCACAGTCTTTGTTGTCACCCCTTTTTCACAGCTGCCAGACGTGGATCTCTTTGTGGGCTGTTAGAGGGGAAACAAGTGCAAGTACAGCTTATTTCCTCTCTGTAAGAGAAAAGGTTCCTCACTGACTAACAGGATTTCTCAGTCTGCAGAAAATCCACGGTCTCTTTTGAATGAGAAGGAAGGGTCATGCAAATAAATCACGTAGGCAAAAAACAAATTAGCATATGGTGGCACAAAGCAATGAGTGGTTTTGACAAGAGTGCAATCTGGTACAACACACATTTCACACCTTTCTGTGCTGATCAGCCTGTCAGTTGGTGACCAAAGAGTATACAATCCTTTTGAAGCCAAAGGAGAATTACCCAAGGTTTGATTTGTGTTTAAGTTGTCATTTTTTTCCACTGGGATTCTAGATACAGAAATAAAATATTTCTAGCCACTTAATTAGTAGGAGGCCTAATTTTTTTTCAGTTAAGAATAATGAGAAATGCATTGTTTCCATATAATCAATTATTTACTAGAGATTTTGGGCTTTTTCAAACCCTGTTTTATATTTATAAATGCATCAGTTTAATAAATAATTGTCAAAGGAACAGAACAGTGCCTTGTAATTTATTATCATGTACGGGCTACTAAAAATTTAGAACAGAGATTAATTTGTTATTGCAGAGATTATGTAAGGGCATGACCCATGTCCCGTTGATGAAAATATTAGCACTTCATAGACTTCAGGGTATCAGAAGGGGGTTTGGAGGTTGCTGATAAGAATTGGGAAAAATCATCATTACAATCTGAAAGCAGTCATGCAGGACAACTCAAGGTATGTGTGTATAGACACATTTTGGTGAGCAAGGCAGCAGGGAAGTTGCTCGAATCTTTGAATTAGGAGCGTCAATTAGGGAAAAAGAATGCCTTTTGTTTGACAAAGCAGATTATACCTTTTTGGTTAAGAAGACTTAGACAGCCTCTCTTTCCAGTTCAAGACAAGGCATTTTTATATGGCTGGTGATTTTAGTGTGTGGGGAGAGTCAGGGCAGCCCCACATGGCTCTGCTCAAAAGCAAAAGCTGGAGCAGTGGGTGCACGATGAGGCAGAACATGAGGCACTCCCCTGAAGAGTAAACACTTCTCACTACCTGCCAATTATTTGTAGGCCAGGGTAGCAGAGAAGTCATTTCAGTCATTTCAACAGGTTTGAGATGAGGTCACATTTTGTAACTCAACCCTTTGAACTCCAAATACAATTTGATTCAAGTCAAGGAGCGGGGAAATAGTTACTAGTGATCTGCCCTACAACCTGTATGATGTCTCTGCTCTTATTGTTTCAGCTGAGAGGATGGATAATGCTCAAAGAAAATGAAAGTTTCTGTAAATCTTACCTCTGTCTTCTCCATGTAGATAAGTATTAACAAGAAAAGTTATCTGTAGAATGATCTGCATTGTGCCTTTCTTTGCTCGCAAAAATCCAGCTAAATCTGCACTAGATGCAATGGCACCCTTCCATTGCCTACAGCTTCAAAATTTGTTTATATTCTGTGGAATAACCATTCAGATGTTGTTCATTTTTAATGCTGTTTGATTACTTGTAACGAGCAATCATAGTAATAAAACAAGAATATATGAAAAAATAAATGTCCATGCTAACCATAAATGCAGGCTATATCAGCAGTATTTAGGTGAGAGCTTATTCCCATTTATTCGTTCCTGATACACTTGGATGCTTTTTACAATGAACAACACAACACTGCAGTCCAGGATGACAGACTGGCCTCCAGGTTTGGCCCTTTTTCTAGAACAGGAATGAAATCTGCTGAGACACATCTGGCTTGTTTGTTAATAGAAGAGTTCCTAAATGAGGTTTCTGTTACCAGCAAAAAATTGGAGGGGGAAGAGGGAAAAGAAAAAGAGGCACAGGGAAGGATGTGTGAACAGAGGACATGAAGGTGGCTTCAGGCTGTACCTGGTGTAGTTAATGGAAAGTTCAAGGGAAAGTGCTGGGAAAAATTGATCTCAAAAGAAGTCTGTCTGTGTGATACAGAGCATAAGCTCAGCAGGATCATGATGGGAATAAAGGACCAAGTTTTCCAGCCGAGAAGGCAAGCCTAAGGGAATGTCAAAGAGGCTGTCAGCATCTAAGTCAGTCTAACGAGCATTTGCTTTCCAGAACAAGGCTTAGAAAGCCTGTCAGAGAGGGAGCCTGATGGCGTTGGTCTCAAGTGGAAAACGCACAGCAATGCTGCACCCAAGAAAATTGATATCTCCCCTGACCACGGGATAATAAAGACAGTCTTTGCCACGGACCTACACCTTAAGAGAGGGTTGTCAGCACTTGGAGGACTGAAGCAGCACAGGTTAGTGCAGGCATTGGAGCTTCTCTCCATTGATTACCACTTAACAGAATTTATTTTTTTCCAAAGATGGCACAAAATACCTTTGGTCTCATTGAGCATATTTATTTTGCTGAAAAGGAATTGGTGGTGAAATCTTGCTTCTCCAATTTTCCTTGGCAACCCAGACACTCTACAAAAAACCAGCTTTTGCTAGACTTTTCTTCATTCTTTTCTAGACGTTCCCTTGTACAGGTAAAATTATGTACCCAGGCCATGGAGCATCCATTCTGTACAAAATGTAATTTTGCAGCATTCTCCTTGGTGATGTGGTTTCCCTATGAAACATCTATTTCTGTGAGGGTAGGAAGTGTTGCCAGACAGGCTCTCATATTGTTATTGCCTTCTCTGGATACTTTTTAGTAATTTCTTATGCGACTGATTAAAGCAAATTGTTGCTATTCAATGTAATATCGTACAAAAGGGATATTACTTGTGATAGTGAGAAAGCCGCACTGGGCAATTTAAATTAGGCTGGAAGAGAAATCAATGCATATTTTCAACTTGGTCCCTCTGTTAGACATTAACTATCATTATTATTCATATTTAAACTGCAGAGGCTTTTTTTTTTTTTTTTTTTTTTTTTTTTTTTTTTTTCAGCCACTTAGCTGAGTGCACCTTAGTAGCCTCCATGACCTTACCTGCATGGCCTTGCCAGCCAGATTGTGTGGGATGGAATTCGGTCACATCTCCTCTGGCAAGAGTGGTTGTATTGCTGGGAAAGGGGTCTTCAGGAGCTCCTGTCCTCTCAGTCAAGTGCAGAAAACTACTTTTCTATTTGAGCTTTGGGGAGTTGTTTTGAGTTTTTTGTGGCGTTGGTACAAGGGGGGCTGAAAGGGCAGATAAAATCCTCGTGCTGTCTTGTTTGGGATGGGCATGAAACAGCAGCAGCCTGACCTGCTGCGGGTGGCATGAGCCTCCCCTCACGCAGGAGGCCATGCTCCCCACAGCATCATCTCTTTCCTTTCCCTCTCAGCCTGATCCCAACGTGAGGAGAGGCTGGTTTGGGAGTTTCAGCACCTCCCTTGGGCATTTCGAGCCTGGGCTGGGGAGACACCAGTGAGGGGGTCCCAGCACTGTGAGGGGGGCAGTTCTGAGGGGGACCCAGTGCAGTGGGAGATTGGGGGGCCCAGCGCGGTGAGGGGCAGGTGTGTGAGGGTCTGTGAGGGGGGCAGCTCTGAGGGGGGGTCCCAGCGCTGTGAGGGGCAGTCGTGAAGGAGTCCCAGCGGTTCGAGGGGCGGCTCGCAGCGCTGTGAGGGCTTGTGAGAGAGCGGCGCTGCAGTGAGGGGGGTTCCCAGCGCCGTGAGGGGCGGCGATCTGAGGGGCTCCCCGCGCGCCCCTTCCTCACGGAGGCCGCCTCGCGCCCGTCCCGCTCCACAGCGCCGGGACCGGGGCGGGCGCGCGCCCCGCGCTGATTGGCTGCCGCCCCCACCACTCCCCACCGGCCGCGGGCGGCGCCGCCGCTCCAAGTTTGTGTCCGGGCGGAGCCGCCGCGGCAGCCCGCGGGCTGCTCCCGGCCCTGCGCGCTGCTTCTCCGCCGCCGCACCGCGGGGTCCGGCCCGCCCGAGCGCCGGAGGGGCAGTGGTCCGGCCATGGCAGGGCGCGGGCGGCGGCGCTGAGGCGGCTGAGGGCAGGGTGTCGGACCCCGAGCGGGCGCCATGCGGTCCCTGAACATCACCCCGGAGCAGTTCGCGCAGCTCCTGCGGGACAACAACGTGACGCGGGAGCAGTTCATTGCTCTCTACGGGCTGCAGCCGCTGGTGTACATCCCGGAGCTGCCGGGGCGCACCAAGGTAGCCTTCGTCCTCATCTGCGTTCTCATCTTCGCCCTGGCGCTCTTCGGCAACTGCCTGGTGCTCTACGTGGTGACCCGCAGCAAAGCCATGAGGACCGTCACCAACATCTTCATCTGCTCCCTGGCGCTCAGCGACCTCTTCATCGCCTTCTTCTGCGTGCCCTTTACCATGCTGCAGAACATCTCCTCCAACTGGCTCGGCGGTGGGTGCCGGGGCCGGGCCGGGCTGCGGGCAGGGGGCAGCGCCGCCGCCGGGACCTGCGCTCCCCCTTCTCTGAGGGACCCTTCCTGCCCTCAGTGAGGCACCTTTTCCCTTCCCGCCCCCTGCGAGGGTTACCCTCTCCCTCCCTCCCTCCCTCAGGTTATGTTGAAGTCACCCAGTGTGCTTTCCTGCCTGTATTCCTTCAAAGTTGCGGTGTGCGTGTGGGAAGCGGTTCGTTGTGTGGAGCTGGCCAGGGAGCCTTGCCGTACTACTTTCTCTTTGGTTTTTATTTTTGTTTGGGGTTTTTTGTTTGGTTTTTTGTTTGTTTGTTTTTGTTTTTTTGGTTTTTTTTTCCTCGCTAAGTAATGAAATCTGGCTGGCAAGTGAGGTATCAGTCTTCATGCCGCTTAAGTTCCTCTGACAGCTGTCAGCTCGGAGACAGTCCTCCTTAACCTTTTGTGAGGAAAAAGAATGTCCTTGAAGGAACAGGTGACTGAGGGAACGTTTAGAATTTATGCTGAAATAATGCATCCTTCTATTTTTTTTTTAATTCATTTTTTTTTCTTGGGAGCTATGTTGTGTAGTCCTGTTGATGTGAAGAACCTTTTGGCAAAGCTTCCCTGATGCCTAGAAAGAAGGAATTTTTTTCCCCTTTTCTATGCATCCCAGTTCCAAAGTAGTAAAAAGCAAGCAGAGAAAGTTGCAGTAGAATTGTATATAGTATTTATTTTCCTGGGCGTTTTTGTTTTGTTTTGTTTTTTTTTTTTTTTTAATTAGACAGTGTTTGACAATTATAAGCAGAAAAATAAAAGGGGTGGTTTTGCAGCAAGTAACAGACAACATCTTCTACAATCACAAATTAAAACATTTTTCAGACTATTTCAGAATGATCAAGGAAGATGTTGATAAAGTGACGCATTGATATTTCAATTTCCAAGGCTTACTGTGTTTCTGTTGTTTGGAGACAAAAGTGAAGGTTTCAGAACGTGGAGATGTAATTCCAAAACTTCCCACAGACTACAATGCTGGGTGGGAATTGACAGGTCAGAGGAGACTTGGAGCACATGTGAGAAATGGGCTTTATTACAGAAACTTCCATGAGAAGTGATGAATCCCAAGCTCCTGGGACTACTGATAGTAAGGACAATTGTGCTGTTTTCTTATGAGCTGTTTTGGGGAAGATAACCTTTGTGATTCTTCTCTCGCCTAAGGAAGGCTCTGATCTGGCAGCTTGACCAAATATCTGCTCAGAATCAACTGAAGCCTCCGTGTGGGGTGAATTACAGGAGGTTGTTCCACATGCCCATGCCCTGTCTTTATTTACACTCTGTTACTGAGGGTGCCTGACAAACATCTAGAAGTAGAGAATGTAAAAGGTCTGGCATAGTTACAACAAATCTCTTCAGATATTCAGTATTTGGACAGCTAAAGTACACTGTTCCCTGGGGATTACTGTGTTTTTTGCCTGCCCTCTTTGCTTTGCTAGAGCATTCTCAGTACAAGTGAATCCATAGGTCTTTTCATCTGGTGAAATCATTACCTTGAACTGACACAGTGTTGGGAGGACATAATAAGTAATATCATGGATGGGTGTTAACCCTTTACTCTGGGGGATGGGGGGTGTGAAGTAAAATTGAGGAAAAGAAATACGTGAACTGATAGTACCTCAAGGGTATCTGGTTCCTGATGCTTACGTGGTGAAGCGTGAGTGGTGTTTACAGTTGTACTGCAAATCAGAGCCTGCCAGTTCTGGAGGAGTCTTTTCCCTGCTGGCTTAACTGGTTTAATATGCCTTTTGCCTTTAATTTTGGAGTCTGAGAAAATCTTATTCTCATCCACTGTAATGCAACATCACTGAGTAGTGCAAGATCCAACTCTGTTATGAAAAAGGTGATTTGACTTGTGTTGTATCCTTGGTGGACAAAGCATCCTGGTGCATCCTGAGACACTTGATGCTAGAAATTGACTGGGAATTCTGAGCCTTTAGTCACTTTATATCTTGATTTACTTGCATCACTGAAACAAGCATCTGTACTAGGTGATGTGAACCGAGGTGTGTATGTTTTGTACTTAGAAGTGCTTCTTTATTTCCATGCTTGTATATGTGTGTTTGTTTCTTCCCCTTCTGAAACCCACAGAAGAATGGGAGAGGGGAGGAGAGGACTGCAAACAAAAAAAAACAGCCACAATTTCAGAGTAGCTGAAGCTGTGACTTTTTCCATAGTATTTTCACTCACACACTCAACTTCACCTGCAGTTAAAAATCTCAGTGTGCCTCACTTTGCCTGATGATCAAGCAGCATTAACACAGACCCTTTAACTCTTTATGGGTAACAACTGGAAGCAGCACCATATTGTCTAAAAATAGGTTTAAACCAGTCCTGCTTTTGATTCTCTGATGTCTTTAAGAATCTGTGTAGCTGTGTGAGTGTAATAGTGACAGTATATGATTTAATTTCCCAATTTAAACTTCACAGCTGAAATGGCTGTAATTTCATGGGGAGCTTTGAATGAAAATCCAGCATGCTCATCTCTTTGTAATTCAGGAGAAAATGAAGATTGCGGCTTTGTCATAAATGATCTCTGGGATCATATTTATTGATAAGAAGGATGAAAAGGGAGCTCAGGTGGGAGTAAATGGATGCATACAGCAATAGTGTGTCTTGGTGCAAGCTGAAGCAGTTGAGGACTTGCTCTCATGTAGTCATAGGTGGGAGGCAGCAGTAGTGGTCCTGTCCTACTGATGGCAGCGCTATTAAAGATAAATTTGGGCTTTTGTCTCTGGGTCAAATACTACAAGAGTTGCTTTGTTTCCTGACACTGCTTGTTTAGCTGAGTGTTGTCTTTACAGAGCTGCCTGGGCCAACGGGAGAATTAATTTAATGTTGTCTAATATAACAGTCCTGGTGAAAGATAAGCGCACATCTTGAGCTTACAGTATAGCCAGCACCGTCCTACATCCTTGTGAATTTCGCATCTTATCAGTTGGGATGTGTATTCTCAAGACAGGTGTCACAGGGTGACTTTGCCTGTCACTTTGAGAGCAGTGAGTCATCTGAGGCACTCCTGAATGCTGAGGTGCCCTCGTGTATCTTGTCTGTCCTCCAGCTGCCCCTCAGGAGAGAGGCGTGTCTTCCGTATGTTGCTGTCACATCTGGTGCCTGGTGATGTGACAGCTTCCTCTTCTCCAAAGGCTTGGTGAAAAACTGACACCTTCTACCCAGTTGAGTCTTTAAGGTGCTTTCTCTTACTTAGCAAATGTCGTGTGTCCAGCAGTGTGTTACCTTAGAACTTCCCTGTGTGAGATAAACATAAACATTCCTCGCTGAGGGATGAGAACTAAATCTTGCATCTATACCAAGAACTGATGTAAAACAATGCCTTGCCCAGGTATGCAACACCATTAGGGATATCATCTGTGTGATGATGACTGATGTGTACTGCCCCAAGTTACGAAATGTGAGAGAAATCAACTTGCTTGCTTCAAGTGATGTGGAGAGAGCTCATTACAAGCTGTGACAGAAATTCTAGTGCAAGAGCATGATCAACAGTGTTTTACCAGAGGAAGGAGCAATTTGACTTTTATCAGAGAAGGGTTTCAGGCTTTTACTTTTGTAACTCTGATAAAAGAAGTGATATTTGAAATGACTAAATCACAGTTGCAGGCACCATGTCCGATAATGAAGGCATAAAACGCTTATGGGAATGCCATTTTTATTTGCAGTCTCTGAATGTGTTATTGTTGGGAAAACTATTCACTGCTTGAATAATCAATGCAGTTTTTAGCAAGCAGTGCATGAGGAATACTTTAAGCCTCTTGAAAAAGAGAAGCAGTTAGTTATTTTCATACCCAGTGTTCTGCTGCAAATGATTTTCTTTCCCAGTTGAAGGTAGTCAGTTTAAGATGCTGCAGTGCTGTCTTGATTAACAGTCCCTTGGAATTGTTCCCTGAAAGCCTAACACAGTAGAAATTTAAACATTTTGATACATACTTAAGATATTATTTAAAGTGTTATCATTATTTAAATTATTCAGAAGAGTCAACACTTTCCTGTACTGCCACCAGTGCAGAAATTAACGCAGTTCCAGTGATTTTGAGGTGACCCCAGCATTTTAGCTTTTAACCCAGCACGGGGAAAACTTAGAGAGTGAGGTTTCAATAACCTTGATTGAACCTCACTGAAGTGGACTTTTATTCTTTGTGTTTGTCTGTCAGTCATATAATCTCCAAACAGCCACATTTTTGTCAGCTGGATTGTAACAAACATTTAAGCTAGTATATTCCTTTAAAATCTTCTGTTACTCTGTGTTAAGTCTGAACACAAATGTGAAAATTCCCTTGAAATGGTTTTAATGCATGCATTTGACCCAGGTGGCTTTTTGCCTGTCTCAGTCTTATTTTAATTTCACTGTATTTACTATGATGTAGTAGCATAATTAATTTTTTTCCTCAAAACTTACCATGTCTTCCTTGTAATGAAATTTGGCACTTTTATCTCAGTTTTTCCATAAGAGGCTTTGAACTAACAGACACTTGAGAATGGGGCTGTATCTATTTCTTCTTGCTGCAGGTGAAGCCTGTTCTACACAAATGGATTGAATATTAAGTGAAATGTGCATGCATTGTTCTGAAGTAATTACCTTATTTCACAGTAAATTTCATTTTCCATGTGTAAAGGCCTGTTAATGTTTGAAATTTGAAAACATAAGTTATATAATTTAAATTATTGAAAGATCTGGAGAAAGTTTCTAGTAATTGTCAAAGTAGTTGGGAATGGCTGCTATAGATTTGTAAATAAAACTATGGGTTTTAATACTAAGAAGAGGCATAATGTGAAGAACACTCATTGTTCTGCCAAGTACAAGGACTCAGGATTAAATCCCATTCAAACACAGTAAGGATGGTGGATGGATCTCAGGTGTGTAGATGGTAGAATTCCATTGAAGTTGGTATCTCTTCAGTTGGCCCTGACATTGTAAACAGTTTATTTCTTTTTCTTTTTCCCCTAAGCGAATCTGTTTTAAATACTTCTGTGAAGGAGGGTTGACTTCCTTGCTTAACAGTCTCTTAACCTTGATGGAGGTTTGAATTTCAAGGCACTTGAAGGTCTCCTCATTTCAGAAAATGGGAAGCATTTGTGTAGTGAGTTACAATTCAGGGCAAGCACAAGAGCCCTGAAGGGATATTATATTGTTAATAACAGTGACACTCGGAGACCCTGTGCATGGTGGCATCAGAAGCTTCAGGGAAACTGAAGTTCTGTTCTGTTTTTACTTTTGATATGTAGATGCTTTTTGACTAGCTTTTACCTATTTGAAAATACCATGGTGTTTCTTGTTAATATGAAAACTTTGTGGCTGTTTTTCTGTGGCCTCCAAGTCTCCAAAGTGTGTGCTGTGTGCCTCAGAGCAGGTGTTTCTATTCCAGCCAACTGTGTCTAATGGAAAATATACTTTTGCTTCCCATTTCTGGAAATGCAAATGTCACTTGTCCAGCTCAATAGGCTCAACCTGCAGGCATTATGTAGACTTTTGCTTTTAGCTGCTTTTGTATAGTTTAAGTGTTTACTTTTTGTGTGTTTGTCTTCAAAAAGATGAGTTAGGGTTTTTTTGCAGCCTTTTCTCCTGGGAGTTCAGCTCAAGGCATAGTGAATGGTAGTCCGTGCTCTTTGACAGTGTGGTTGCTGGGAAGAAAGTGAGAAGACTTCTGTAAAAAAAAACCAAACCAATGAGCATCTGGGAATTTGAGAGTTCTCTCCAATTTGGGGTGTTCCCTTTGTTCTTTGAATAGTTGGGCACCAGCTGGTTACCCTGGGATGCTGGGACTTCCGTGGAGGAGTAGTGCATTTCAGGGAAATCCCTGTAATGCAGGTATAATTCAAGTGTATTTAATTTAAGTCTGGTCTTTTTCAAACTGTAAGAAATAGCCTATGGCAAAAGTTTGAGTTGGTTTTTTAGCTTTGTTTTGTGTTTCTTTGCTTGTTTTCGGTTTTTCCCCAGCTTCAGCACTCGGACTTGAACTCATTTCCTTAGTGAAACAGGAACTTAAACGTTTCATTAACAAGTTTGGCTCTTCTGTTTGTTATTTGTAGCAGGAGTCCCTTCTAACTTAGTGAAGCAAAAATGTAAAACCAACTCTTTGGTCACATTCACCATTTGCCACGTGCAGAGTAGGTAGGATTTGAGCTTGCCTTTGGTTTTATCTCACAACAGAAGTTTAAGCCCACTGCGTGAAGGATATAAATTTGATAGAGTGGGTCTGGTGCTGTATGTGCAGCACATTCTGTACTGGGTGTAGTGAGAAACTGATGGGATGCTGAGTTAGTAAAATATTGGTTCTGTTTCATGAGGCATTTCCTTAGGCATCACTGATGCCAAGGAAGGAGCAGGGGGAATTTTATTTTATAAATTGCAGTTGATACAGCATATGAAGATGTCTTGTCTTGCTCGTCTTGATGCCCTGGAAAAGTAGATACTGGATGAAAAACAGACATGCAGCCCAGTGCACCCTCAGCCATGCAGTTCCTACTGACCATGCTAAGATTACATTCAAGGAGCTTGAAACTGGGCTGCATGGTGTGTTTTTATTCTGGTTTAAGCCAGACCTGTGTGCACATCCATCGTGTTGCTGGTGTTGAATATGTGCTTGAAAAGTGCTTGATTTCCAGCCATTGCTGTTTGTCCTCTCCTTTCCTTTGTGGAGCCACAGAAAAAGGGATTTTTGGGCAACTAGAATTGGCAAGACCAGTAACAAACCAGTTCCTTCTTGTAAGGTAGAGTGGCTTCTAGCCTGGCAAAAGTTTTCCTTGTTTCTTGTTCCCTTCATGGAAGGTAGGATTAAGGTTTTGGAGTTTTCTGTTTGTTTTCTGTTTTCTGTGCTGTTACTGCTTAACGTGTCCATAGCATCTTAAAGCTTGACTGAAAATTGGATCAGATAGTTCTTAGGCTGTTTTGGTTTTATGGATTATATCTGAGTAAGGTATAAATAATGGTCTAGTAAGGACAATAACCCTGACTGTTGCTGAAATGAATAGCTGATACTGAACTGTAAGAGTGTAAGGGAACTGTGGAAATACGGGCAGAGAAAATTATCTCAGGGTCAAAAAGCAGGTAAATGAGAAGTAGATTGGGAAGGGCATTAATTTTTTTACAGAATTGTTTATATGACTTTCTAAGATGGCTAGGACTTGAGAATGGGTAATGGAGAATGACTAATACGTTAAGAATTGAATATGGACTTTGGAAAGCTGTGGCAGCAATATAAGTTGAAGTTGCATAAACACAATAGGAATCTGTGCAACTTAGAAAATGCAGGCGGGAAATTGCATTTGTTTTGCACAGTGGCACTATCATAACTTGCTAATCAACAGAGAGGGAGACTTGGAGAACAGAAGGATGATGAAGAGGTTGAATTTTTCCTCTTATGCCTCCTCCTCTATATATCTCACTTGACAGGATGATGCATTGAATGCTGTAGTGTACACATAGAGTGATATATAAATGAGCTTAAGGAATGTGTTTGCAGCAGAAGAAAAGGCAAACTTTTAAACAGGTAACACTCAGACCTTCACAAACTGGAGAGTAATCTGCCAAAATGAAAAAAATAATAAATGACTCTGTAACTTGGCATGTTTGACAACAGATGATGGAAGACTTGTCAAAAGTGAAATAGGAGTAAGTGTCAGACTGGTTACAGGGCAAGTGAATACGTCCTTAGAAATCTTGGCTTTGCAGATGGTTACAATAAAGAATGGCTGTGCAGAGCTGCATTTGACAAATGGCTTAAATAACTGACTCAGCAGTTTAGAGGTTATAATAAATCTAAGAATCTTGGTCTGGTATTTTTGGTAATGGAGTCTAGTGTTAATAGCTGTTGCATGTCTTACTGATTATTGCAGGTGCCTTCGCTTGCAAGATGGTGCCGTTTGTTCAGTCCACTGCTATTGTAACTGAGATTCTTACAATGACCTGCATTGCTGTGGAAAGACACCAGGGAATTGTGCATCCCCTGAAAATGAAGTGGCAGTACACCAATAAAAGAGCTTTCACGATGCTTGGTAAGATTTTAAGCGTCTCCAATAATTGTGTGTGGGAAGTGATCTTCAGTGAGGATGGCATGGTATCCACGGATATGACCAGTGATTCAGAGGCAGAGTTAATTGACCTTTATAAAATAGCTCAAGGGTAGTGCCTACAAGTAAAGTATTCACTAGCCAAAACTCTCACAAGGGACTTAGGATCTGAAGTCAAAAATGTACTTAACAATGATAAACCTTTAGCAGCCATTTCTTTTTTCTTTTTTCAAGAAAAGTTCAAAATGTACAAGCACTGCTTAAGAAATGTCACAGGGAAATGATCCTTCCATTGTTACACAAAGAGGTTTACTTAATGCTCCTTATGCAGATTAAGTGCTTTTCCTGTGGAATATCCATACATGTTGGTAGTTTGAGAGACAGAAAGGTGATGTCAAAAGAGCATGCTGTTATTGATGTGAGTGTTGACTGATGAATGCCTCATAGAAAACTTTGTTCTTTGCTACAGTTTTCTACCTTGCCTTTTCAAAGCTTTGTTCATAGCAAATCCTGCTTGTTGGACAATGCCTCATAGAAAACTTTGTTCTTTGCTACAGTTTTCTACCTTGCCTGACTTTTCAAAGCTGTTGAACTGTTCATACCAAATCCTGCTTGTTGGACCAAGTGTGAAAAAATGTATTTGTTCACAGGCATAGTCTGGTTGCTGGCTCTCATTGTTGGGTCGCCCATGTGGTACGTGCAACGGCTTGAGGTAGGTCAGGTCAAATGGGGATTTGCTTATTGAACTCAGTCCTTGCTGGGTCTTCCTATACCTTTAGGTGAAATTGAATCAACTCCTATGAAATTAGAGGGGGATAAGGGAGGTGGAGCTTTGGTTATGTGCGCCAGCCTGGGGAAGGTTAAGGGTTAGAACTTGCATGCACTGTGGAAGAGGGAATACAAGCAGGGACTTGTCATGCCTATTCTCCCTAATTACATCCAAGAACAGAAATCTGTGACTTCCACTCTGGCTTTCCTTTGGTTTATAGGTGCTTGGCACACAGGAATAGAGGGCTTAGATTGCTGTTTCAGGATGACACAGTACTCCCCAAGATCTGGAAAAACTATGCTTAGTTTAGAATTAATTAGCTGCTCATTATAGTTGATGAGTTACCGCACACGTTTGGAGGTTAGGCAGGAGGCTTGGCAGAATCTGCTGCTTGTGAGTCTGAATGTTAATAGTTTTCTTGTTTTTTAAACTGGCTAAGTGTGAGGTTTCTATACATCCATCTTTACTTGCAAAATGTGTAGCCAAGGTCTCCTTGAAGTGCAAATCGGAGCATCTCCCAGCCTCTCTTTGTCAATTTGGATCAAACCCTATATTTGATGTGGAGAAGTGCTTGGAAGAATTTTGTCACACTGAAAAAAATCCGTTGAATTTTGGTTGTTCCATTAAGAACAGAATATCTCAATGTGTTTGGGTTTTACGCTTGGGATAAACACCTTAGTGACTCATCTTCTTTACATTTGTTCCAGGTTAAATATGACTTTCTGTATGAAAAAGTGCATGTTTGTTGCTTGGAAGAATGGGCCAGTCCCATTTATCAGAAGATCTATACAACCTTTATTCTTGTTATACTCTTCCTTCTTCCACTGATGCTGATGCTTTTTTTGTACACTAAAATTGGCTATGAACTCTGGATTAAGAAACGAGTGGGAGATGCTTCAGTTCTTCAAACCATTCATGGGAGCGAAATGTCTAAAATATCAAGGTTTGTAAGCAAAATGCACTTGGAAATTTGACTTGTAGAAAGCTTTTTTCCTGACTTTTTTATTCCTCTTGAATAGAGTTGAAAATGGCTTGCAAGGCATACTAATGTCATGCTGCAAAGTGCTCTGCTGTCCCAAAAAAGAGAAATAAATTGCTAGATTTATATGATGATGCGTTTTTTTCTTTCCAAGAGGATTGTGTACTTCTGAGCTTTCCTTGAGGGTTTTATTTGAATCTGCAGCCATCAGAACACAGTCGCAGATCTAACGTGAAGAGAGATATGTAACTGCCAGCCAGTTCCCAGTGATTCAGTGTGGAATTCTTGATGCAATTTCAGGAAGAAGAAGCGAGCAATTGTTATGATGGTGACAGTGGTGTTTCTCTTTGCAGTCTGTTGGGCCCCTTTCCATGTGATTCACATGATGATGGAGTACAGTGAGTACCTGCTGTATCTCGTAGAATAAAGCCAGGGTTTTGGGGTTTTTTTAAGTAATGGAACTTCATATTGTGAAAAGCTAATGATGCTACAGCGTTCAGCTCTAGAATACCTTCTGCAAGGAAAGGTTGATGTTCTGCTTATAAAAAAAAAGGAAAAACAGGGGTATTAGAGGAGTGAGCAGCTCTGTGTAGATTTTTTCCTTACCGTGTCTGTTATGCTGCCCTCATTTGCTGAAAGGTTAAAAAGGACTTGGCTGGAAGATAAAAGTTATTTCTGAGCATAAAGTGTCTTGAAGTTTTAAATGACATTTCATTTAACTTAACTGTTTTGAGTTAAACTTAAAATGAAACATCCCTTTTATTGAGGTAGGCATATTGGAAATATAAATACTGGACATCACAGTGATGGTACCCAAAGAATACAGCTAGAGTTTTTTGGTGCTCTTTACTGCAGACTGTCTTGAAATGCTCTCAGTGCTTGTTCTTTTGGCTTTTTTTGCTATTTGCCTGTTCCTCTGGGGTCTTGCACTGTTCATCTCCCACTTCCTCCATGGATACTGGAGCAGCCTATGTGCAGGAACAAGAGGAAATTTTTAGTAGTTGTACTCTACTTGCTAAAGGCAGGAGCTGTTTCTTTGTCTCCCATCACAAATAAGATTGTAGCAGCTAAATTAATAGTTCAACCAGTCAGCTTTTTTGCTCATAAATTTTCTTTCTTTTGATTCTGTTACTACCTGCATACAAAGCAGGACTGTGTGATAGTTCTTGATTTTATCTTGTTGATGAAACTCAATTGCTAATGTTAAGAAGCTCCAGCATAGGTTTTTTTTTAATTTTAAAGAAAAACATCTAGTGCCAAACTGGATATAAACAGGCTAAGTAGTAAGCATTTATGACATTCTGTACTTACAGCACATTTCTCTTTTCCTGTCCAGGTAATTTTGAGAAGGAGTATGATGATGTGACAATCAAAATGATTTTTGCAATTGTCCAGATCATAGGATTCTTCAATTCTATTTGCAACCCTATTGTGTATGCTTTCATGAATGAGAACTTCAAGAAAAATTTTCTGTCTGCCCTCTGCTTCTGCATTGTGAAAGACAACACATCCCCAAGCAGGCAGCTTGGGAACTCAGGAATTACCATGAGGAGGCAAAAGCCAGGTGCATCTCAGAAAGATCCCATGGACTTGGACGAAGGCAGGAGGGAGGCATTCAGTGATGGCAACATCGAGGTCAAGTTCTGTGATCAGCCAGCTTCCAAAAGGAATTTGAAAAGGCACCTGGTCCTGTTCAGCTCTGAGCTTACTGTGCACTCTGCAGTAGGAAATGGACAGTAGCATCACAAGGGGTTTGGGAATGGAGAAGTCCTTCTCTTTATGATCATTTCAATAAGCCATTTAAAAGAGTTTGCTGCTTTGCATGCTGAAATGAGGGGGGAAAATGATGTGTGGATTCTAATCATGTTGGCATAGTGGCTGAGAAAATGTAATGCTTATTTTATAATGACAAGGAGTGAAACTTTGGAAAACAACATTGTGTGATTTCCAGGAGAAAAAAATAATTTCTTCCTGACCTAATTTAGGGCTTATTTGTGCTCTGCTTTAGGTAAACAAAACAACTGCTGCTTGCTCCATTTATTGTGTGTCTGGACTGTACACAGCTGAATGCCAGAAGACAGGAGTTATGGAGAGAATGTGCACCTTTTTGGGACAACTTGGAAGTCTGACGTGGGGATGACATTGCAAGATCTGCTTTCTGCAGCTTTGAGGACAGAGCAGCTTCAGATCTGAGTTTAGGAAAGATGGAGGTTGAGATGCAATTCTATTTTAGAAAAAAAAAGGGAATATGAAAGAGTTATCCAGAACATGACTCTGAAAAGATTTAAACACCACATGCATGTTCAGATTTTGTTAGAAGGAAGCATATTAGTAATTAGCAATGCATGCCTAATTACTCTGCTATTTTTACAGATTTATTCTTGGGTGCAAATATAAATGCCATTGTACTGCCCTGCAAACTGCATTGTTCTTCTGAAAAATGAAAAAGCTGAAAAAGTGCTGTACAAGGAAGTGCAGATGCAGGAGGTGTGGTCTGTAAACACTGAATTGAACTTCCAGTCATGCTTGGACATGTGACTCTCAGGTTGAAAGGCTGGTGTTTGCTGTCTGAGAACTGGGCCAGTGCTTTGTTATTTTAGAGTTCACTGTAAATTGTGGGGTCGATATCCATAGAAATTCTAAATGTTTTTGCTCTCAGTGGGCCAAACTGCAAAATTGCAAAGGTATGTTTGCAAGTGTGGGACTGGGGGAGAAGTGTGATCCGAACTGGTACACTGGGATCCCATAAATGAGGCCTTGAAATACAGAATTTGCCACTCCAGCTGAGGTTAGGTTGGATCCTTTAACAGCCTGTAAAATGTCAGTGCTCTCTTCTGTCACTCCTTGCCTCACCTATGAGACCTTGATGCTGCCTTGGCAGTCAATTTAAGATTCTTTTACATTGCTACTTTACACTTCATTGTAAATGACAACTTAGGGTAAAATATCCTTGTATAATTTGGATGTAATCTGATTCTTCTCTAATGTCTACAGATTGCAATGGGTTTGTGACACACTTTATTTACATGTGTTTTTTTATATTCTATATGATACACTCTTGTGCAATGACAGAAAGCTCCTGACTTGTCCTGAGGGCCAGGAATCAAGAGCTTATTATCATAGTTTTCCTCAGCAGATATGAAGTTTAACTGCCTGATGGTGAGAACTATGTGTTTGGATAGAATCTGTGACTGAAAACTAATTTATTTTAAGCTATTTATTTATTTGCACTGCTAATTTCAGTGACAGATTTTAACAGACATTTAACCAGAACTTCCAAGTATCTTTGTCTTTGTTTTGTCTTCCCTGCTTCTGTTGTCTCATAAAACATTGTGTCAATGAATAACTGCTGTAGTATTCATTTTGTTTTCATTAAAGTTCCTTTATGGCTTTGTTGGTGCTGTTTTGCACTAGGGGATATCTGCTGTAGACTTCACTTTGAGTCTCTCTTTGTTTCAAGATTCATGTGAGCTTATCTGTGCCTCTTTAGTGATGAAATTCCAGTCCTTTTACAGGTGCCAGCTGCTCCTGTAATCCTGAGAGCTGTGATTTAAAGGACTTTCCAGAGTAAGGTAAGAAAGCGGAAGAAAAATCCAATCTCTTGTAGAAGAGAAGTGATAAATATTTCAGCACAGATGTGTGGGGCTGTGGTTAGATTAAATATAAATCAAAATACAAAAGACAGTTCTTATACTGTTCCTAATGGTAATTATATTATTTGTGCATTTTTGACAGAGTAGTTGTCTTGAAGCCAGGTAATCTTGTCCTGACTGCAGGGAATAAAAGATCCATTATTGGCATAAGCACCACCAGGATTTTGCCCATGTTTTTTAAACCTGCCAGAGCTTCAGCTTTGATTTAGCCAACAAAACCAGTGGTGCTGTTGAAGTGTGTCAGTTTTGAGTCCAGGCTGGTTAGCCTATCCCTTGCAGTGGCTTCTACCCTGAGTGTGGCTGTGAGTGCTTCAAACCAGGAGAAGCCCTGCTGTCCCTCAGCCTGCCTGTGCTTATTTCCATCTTCCAGTGACAGAATTGCATGGTTCATCTGATGACAAAAATATTCCTGGCTAATGAATTTATCAGAGAACATAAAAAATAACCACGCTCATTTCCCTAAACAGAATATCTATCAAAGCTGTCATGTTCTTTATGGAAAAATGTTTCTTCAAGTTTTTTATTATGTTAGTTAGCAATTACTTATGTCTTTGATAAAATTAAAGAGGAACTTTTTATTCTCAGCTGCAAGGGGCTAAGCCTTTAAGTTGCAGTGAGATGATGCCAGGGATTGACAGGCTGATGAAGACAGGAGACTGAAAGGACACATGCAACTGAACAGAGACTCTGGAAATTGAATGGATGAGGAAGAAGTCTCAGAAGTGTCAGCTTGTTCAACTTATACCAGAGTATTAACAAGGAAAACAGTGAGTAGAAGGGAGTGAACCTTCTCAGTAATTGTAACAGTAGCAATTTTAAAAAAATCCAATGTCAGTGTGTTCCAAGGAATAACCAATTGCCAATGATTGCCAAAGTAGCAGAGATGTGTGATGTGCCTGCATCCAGGGAGTAAGTACATAAATTCTCAGCCTGGAGATGTGTTAGCCCTGTGAGCTGATGACAGGATTAGCTCATGTGCTGCTGGCAGAGTCTTGGGGCATGGCAGAAGCCATTGAAACAAGTGATCCAGCAGAGTGAAAGGGACACCTTAGAGATCAGAGAAATATATTGCAGAGGACATCTAGATGATTATTTCCCAGGGGAGAAAAAAAAATAAGTAGAGAAAAGGTTTTAGTAGAGCTGTTGACTTGGAGAGATGGGAGAGCAAGATAATCATGGCAAGCTATATTTTTGTATCAATTAGAGTTGATCTGAGTGGTAGCAAAGTTGGGAGAGTTTAGGAACTGTATTCAGAGAGCAGATCTGTGAGCAGAACAGCATCTCAGTGCACAGGGCAAAAGGCTGGGAAGTGTGGAAGCTGCCCTTTTGGTGCCTCTCCAGGTGGGAGCAGTGGAAGGGACCAGGAGCTTCACCAGCCTGAGGAGGGGACAGGTAAATGTGGATTTAATACACACTAAAGGGGTTAGGTTGGGTAAAGCCCTTCAGAAACAATGACATAACAATCTCTTTATTTCTCTTTATACTCCCAAGTCCTGCTTTACCCCTCAAAATTGGCTTCCAGGAGTACTGCTGGACATTCATGCCATCATTAACTTCCTCTTTTGAAGCTCCAGTGAAGCTGATGGATTATGAAGTTATTTTAACTGCTCTGGTGTGGTTTGAGATGAAGGGTGATGTGCTGGTTTATTATGAGGGTTTAATCTCCCCCCAACTCCTCATCCACATCAGTACAACAAAACCTGCTCAGTCAAAAGCAGTAAAACCTGGTTCCTTTCATTCCAAAAAATACAGACTCACAGTCCTACAAGTTAGGCTCACACAATGTTGGTTTTGCTACAAAAGTGCTGTCCTACAAGCCAGGGTTGTTTTTGAGGTTTAAGGGTATTTGTATGTATTAATGCTTTCATAAAAGAAGAAATCTAGTAGAGATACAAACAAACCTCTACAAATTGCATCTCTGCCCTGTAGGGTGCTTAAAATGCCAACTAAGACTTGAAAAGATGTCTTGCTGCCTGAAAAAGGTTGAATTTTGTTTCTCAGCCTCCTGTGGAGTAATACAAAGCCTTCTATGAAAAGCCCTTATTTCCCTGCATTTTCCTTTATTTTTTTTTCCCCCCCACAAAGCTGAAACTTCTGCTTATTTCTTATTCTCTGGAGAAATAATCATAAAACCTTCTCCCCAAACATTGTGAAATATATTCAGTTTATGATAGGGACCCTGTCCTAAAATGACATGTGCTTGCATTGAAAAGCTTTTTTACATTAGCACTTGTTAGAGGAAAATGTTTTTATTTTTTTAAGTTTCTGTTGAAATCTCTTTACAGCCTTCTAGTTTTCATTTGCTCTTTCCAATGCCATCACTAATTTTTTCTAAGTTAGTTTCACCAGAGTTTCTCAGGACTCACTCTTCTCAGGTGAATTTACGGTTCCCTTGGACGTGGTCCTTTTTTTCTCTATCTCTAATCTTTTCCATGCTTTATTAAGTTGTATGGTCTTACACCATCTTTCCCCATGCTCCTGAGCAAAGCCTTAATTAATTGATTTAAAATTTATGGCACAGTCTCCATAAATCTCTTGTTACATCTTGGAAATTCATAAGAAAGCTTTCAGGCTTTTTCACTGCTCTGGGATCTGATTTGTAAATCCATTTCATTTTCCCGTCTGAAATAGGCATCCTTGCTATTTGCATTTATGCCACCTTGATAAATATTCTAATGTATGGACATAGAACTGCTGCAGGATAAGAGATAGTTCTCCTGTGGTATCACAGGTGCAATATTTTAATTTCATTTTCTGCCTCAACAGTTTGCTCAAGCAAAAATTAGTCAGGGTTGAACTGTATTTTCCAGTGTTGACAAATAAATTCTTCACTGACTTAATAAAGCAGAAGTGCACTTACTTTCAGATCCATCACACTGGAGGGGAAAAAGATTTCAAATATTTTAGAAAAGAAATCCTAAATAATCGTTCTACTTGAAAAAGGTCAGCATGTTTGGGATTTTAAAAAAATTTTCTTCTTAATTTCTTTTAAAGGTGTCTTTCCCTAGTGTTCAGATTCTGCTGTGCAGGGTGAGGTGAAGCTGCTGACTGGAGTGTGTGGGAAGAGGCTGAATTATACTTCTCAACTTGTATCAGGGCTGCTCTGCTTGTTGGCATCCCTGGGACCCTTCTGCTTTCATGGTGTCACTGAACTCTGCACATGTGTTTGCTGAAGATCCCTCTTTTCCTAAAAACTAAACTTGTTTTAGTAGGAAGTTGAACTTTGACTTCTGCCATTTGCCTTGCCCCTTTTTTTTTATCTCATTGGTTTGCTTTACTTTTTCACTATTTCATTTTTTTTTTCCCCTTTTGCTTTCCCTGAAGCAATTCTTTGTGACCTTATCTCTTTTATACAGATTAGAATAACCAGGTAATTAATTCTGAGACCAAAGTGAAGCAGCCCTGTGGTTCAGAATGTTTATTCCATCAAGTCTGATTATCAGATTACAAACTGCATTTCCAGTCCTTATTTCAGGCACCCTTGGGAAGACCTTGCCCACAGTACTGGTTACATTAGGCTTGCATGTGTATATTTTATTTCTGAATTGACTTTATAAATTGAAATGTTATTTCTCAGGCTGCTTATTGACATATTTGCATTTTAATATTTCTTTCTTTGACTTTACAAACTTCTAATTCCTAGGAAATGGAGCTTCTCAGTAATGTGCCAGCTGCACTGCGAGAGTTGGGGGGTTTTTTGCTTGAAATAACAAGCATAGATGTCAGTCTTTATTGTACAGATGACAGCTAAACTATGGCTTATAAAAAGGTCCAGTAACTTTCTTCTGGTAGCCTGACAACTCTGTGCAGTGTCTTTTGTGTGTGTGTGACAACAGAAATATAATGTTCTTCTGCTTCTTGCCTCTAACACATGGTTTCCATAGAAACATCATCTAAACACCCAATTTAGCTATTAATGAGTTCAGTCCATAACTGAAGACTCTTAAAAACCATGCAGCCTGAGAATCAACAGCTAGAAAATATTTAGTGTCTCCACAGGTAAAGTATAAAACATATCCTACTAAATATCAGTATTAAATATCATATTCAAGTTTCATCCTCAGGCATCCTTGAATTTTGGAGGAGCAGCTGTGTGGCAAAAAACCCATGGGAAAGCTCTCTGTGGCTCCAGCAGCTCGGTGGGGTGGTTGTGGCCTCGCTCGGGCTGTAGATGGCACCGTCGCTGCACATGAAAAGCTGAGCTCTGCCAGTCCCTCCCTGGGGAGTTGTTATCCTGCACGCGTTTGGGAGCATGTATTTCATGGCAGGACTTGGTAAGGGTTTGATAGAGTTCTTTCCCTAGGGTTAGAGAGAAACATGGAGAGAGGTGTTGGATTTTTTTTTTCCTTTGTGAAATAGTGCTTTGAAAAACGGAGCTCATGAATGAACGAGGACCAGTGATATCAAAAACCCAGTCAAAATTGGTTTTATTGTATCTCAGATGGTTAAATTTTCATCTAGAAGTCATCCCTTTTGCTTTGCAAACTTGTTTGCCAAAACAAATGAATACCACTCTTAGGTCTCTCTTGTTTTTGAAGCTGAGCATGTGAAATACAAATTAGTGAGTGGATCTACAAAAAAAAAAAAAAAAAAAAAAAAAAAAATAGAGATCAAGGTTCTCTGAAATCCTTGAGACAAGTCATTCCCAGATTCCCCTGAGTGTACTAAAAAGCCTTTAGCTGTAGGCATCCCTCTTCCCAAATCTGGGGATATAGTAGAGGGAAGCCAAAGGGGAAATGAAAAGGGAAAAGAAAGAAGTGTTATTTATTAGCAATCAGGAGAAATCTCAGTTCCTAAATGGTGAACTTAAAAATATAAAGGGTCTGAAAAAGTGATTTGTTTTTGTTACGGTCTTCACAGACATTCATTTAAACATTTTATGCACACTGGAAATAACTCTAAATTCTCAACGGGAGTGGAAGAACTTTGCTGTCAAAGTTGGAAAAAAGCAAAAAATACCCTTGTGCAGGGAAAAAAATTTAGCAGCCTGTCAAGATCAGCTGTAAAATACAAGTCTTGCCATAGTGATTTAAGGCTCCATAAATACTAGGACAAATGAAAATATTATTTGCTCTTCTTAAGAATGTAAATGGAGGATAGGACTCCTGACTATCCAAGGTAACACAAACCATGAAAAAAAGTGGAAAGTCTTTTCATAATTTGCTCATGGAATGATAATATTTTTTCAGTGAGGTATTGATGTGTGTTCATAAAGTCTGAAGTAGAATAAACCCACTTAATTAGTGGAGGAGAGGAGCACAGAAGGACATAGCCACAAAAGTGATTTGTTTGCAAAATAACCTGAACAGGCAAAGGAACTTTCTGAATTTACAGTAATCAGCTCTTTTGAATGGAAATATTCTATAAGCTTGTGAAAAACAAGGCGAACACTGGCTTGGTTTTTTTGGGAACATATTAATGTTAGTTTTCTTGGCATATGGTATTTTCCTCTCCAAAGTAAACTTACAGAGTAGCCATGTTATTCCTTCCTGGCTTTTTAAATACATTTTGGAGATCTCAAATGCTCCTGGAACTTCATACCTGGAAGATGTGCTGCAGCTGTGTGTCTGCCAGGCAATAGGCAAGGTAAGTCCTTACCCCTGGTGTACTTGGAGCAGGTGAGTACTGAGTCAGCTGTGCCTCTGGTCACCTGTGAGTAATTATGTCATCTTCTAAGGCTCCAAATACTACTGTTTTTTTAGAGATTATGAAAAATTAGATACTGAATTGTAATTTCTGCCCGAGAGCTGCATCAGAGACGGTTTTCAAATGCTAAAGCAACCCTTCTCTCAAGTGAGTTTTTAGAGATTATGAAAAATTAGATACTGAATTGTAATTTCTGCCTGAGAGCTGCATCAGAGATGGTTTTCAAATTGCTAAAGCAGCCCTTCTCTCAAGTGAGATCTGGTCTTTTTTTTTTTTTTTTTTAAAGAAAGGGAAATACAGGGGGGTGGTAGGGAGTATATTATTTTTAAATTCAGCACAGTAGTTTTGAATTCATGCTATGTTCATGCAGTGTTCAATAGAAAGGGCCTTAATGATAACTATAAATGAGGAGCAAGCACGTAATTATATCTGATAGCAGATTTTTGCAAGACGTGTGTAGTTTTCAGGGTTAGGTGTGAAAGATGGTCATGGAACTGTCAATGATCAAAACAAAATGAGACAAATCATCCTTTCTAATACTAGTGTGGAACTGAGACAGAGCTGGCGATTGATTTAATTTATTTTTCTGTATTAGAGTGAATTTTTGAGGTAGTTCATGAAAAGCTGATGCCTGAAGTTGTTTGCATTTCCCATTGATCTGTGTGTACGGTTCATTTACTGTTCAAATCATCGCCTTGCTGCTTACAGCTGAAAGGCCCCGCTGCACCAGGACGCTCCTGCTGAGGCATTAACTCTTGCTGATCCCGTTCCAAAGCTGCCTAGCATGTTTCCAAGGCAGGGGGAGCAAGGATGGGGAAGGGCGTTCGAGGAGTATTTTGGCTGATGAATCTCTAGTGACACCTTGTGGGATGTTTCACGGAATCGCCTTCAACTCTTTTGGGGAAGGAATAAACTGCAAGGCTTGTGCAAAAAGCTGCCCGAATAGTGAAATGCACTTAAAGCACTGCACTCACCTATAATTAAAAATAAACTATACAGGTAAGCTTTCTCATGGTGAAGTTGTCCTTCCTTAGTCCACTGAGGTGTTAAACCGTTGTAGATGTATATATATATATATAATCTATATCTAGGTAATATTATCTAGAAATAAAATTTAACTTGTTGAAATAAACATATTCAGATTCACTTTCAAGTGAAACAATGAGACATGGGAATGTTGCAAATCAGTTGCAGCTGGCATGATTTGGGTGTACTCAGTACGCAGCTCATGGTCCTGCCTGGTCAAGGTTTGATGTTCTGAGGAAAAACTGGCCAGGAAAAATATTCCAAACAATTTAAAAAATGCTGTTCAAAAATGAGTATTTAGAGAACTTTAATTGATATTTCATTATATCCAATAATTCATTTTTAGAACCTTCTGGTGATTTTCATCTACTGGAAAGATCTTTTTCTCCTACTGAGTGATACTGGATAACTGTTTTGGCTAGATGTGTTGAAAGATTTTTTTCCTATTGCTTGCTCTCATTTTGTGGAGATGGCGAAGTCTGGGGGTAAACAAAATCTCCTGTAGGGGATGTAAAAAAATTGATATCTCTAATGTTCTTAAAGTTCTATGCTGGTTGTAGCTTCACCCATCTGGCATTTCAAAATACCTTGCACTGGTCAGCAGATGAAACTCAGCTAAGCCTGGGGGAACAGAGCAGGTTTTTTTGAGACAGACCAGTTTTTTAGAAAAATTTGAACCAAATTGAAATAATTCAAACAAAATAAAAATAAATTTTTATTGCTGGGCTTGTAGGTGTGGAGATTATAGCAGGGGAGATGTAGCAAGATAAATTGCTACATGAAGAGAATTTGGGAAAGAGAACAGAAAAGAGATTTGAAAATGATTTCATGTTTCTTCTTGCTCAGAAGAGTATTTCTTCTTCCTGTGCATAAGTATAATGAATGGAAAATTAGCTTGATCCTTTACTGACTGAGAAGAAGGAATTGGAGACTTCTAGAAAATGCTGTGGGCTGTCTTCCAGCACAGCTCAGCTGAAGTGATTTTTTTTTTTTTTTTCCTAAACACTCAGCTTTTCCTTCCCTTAAATGCCTGGTGCCTCTGGCTTTCTACCCCTCCCTTAGCCACTGCAGGCTTCTGTGGAGTTGTGTAAGTACTCCTTTAATTGGTGTCCTTGATTCCACTGAGAATGTTTTGTTTCCATGACTTTCCCTAGATGGAAGCACTGGACCAGCTGAGCCTGAGAAAGGTAGAAAGGGGTCTCTAACACCTGAATCTATGAGTCAGTCCAGAGAACCTTTTCTATTCAAAGGCTTTCCACAAAATTCTACTGTCAAACAATAACAGCTTTACAAAGGGGTGAGTTTGAACTCTAATTTATATAGTAATTAATAATACAAAAACAATTTGGGGGAGGCTTTGACCAGGTCTTCTGCAGCTCCTGTGGAGAGATGAAGCTGTTTTGCACCCCTTATATTGCTTTCCTTTTAATTCATGTATATTGATACTTCCTGCTTACTTCTTGCTTTCCATGCCTGGCACTTGAAAATGAGATATTTGAATTGTTGCTCAGTTTTGTGATGTTTTCTTTGCATGCAGATAGCACAGGGAGAGGGCAGAGGCAGAAGACAGACTGGTGTTGCCTCCAGTTTCCATCTCTCTGTAGTGAAGAATTAGAACTTTTGTAACCAAGCTTAGTACAAAGCTGATACCTAAAACAGCTCTTGTTGGGGGCTGAGTGCAGGAGGGCCATGAAGCTGGGCAGCTGTCATTCTCTCCTGGACTGAAGCAGACAGGAGTTGTGACTTGGTGAGGTAGCACTGTGGTCCAGTGGCAGAACAACCCTGGGTTCAGGCTCTGCCTGCTGTCGTTTCCCCAAAAACGTGATGCCACTGCAGACTTCCTGGTGTGCCAGTGCTCTGAAAACCTCACCCTCTGGGCAGCACCCAGTTACTAAAAATCCTGATTGCTGGCATCTGTACTCAAGGCAGGAGGCAGCTCCTTCATAGGAACAGCCCACGTAGGAAACAGCCCACGTAGTTTGCAACCACTCTCCTGCCTTCACTGTGCAGGGAAGTTTATCTTTACTAGAAATAGTAACTTGAAAGTGGCCTTCATGCTTACTGAAAGCAGCAGAGTGCTTGGTTGTGACTCATGGAAGGAGCCCAGGTATTGGGGAATGATAGCATTTCCCTCTACTGCCTGGTCCAGCAGTTAAACCAAGCCTAGTTCTGTGTCAGGTACCACGTTGAAGATGATGTGTGTGATGGCTCTGTCTCTGCCAGAATCCAGAACGAATAAAAAGCTCCAAAACCACTGCTGGCTGCTGTAAACAGCTCTGTGTTGGCTCTGCTAGGTTTCAGAGTGAAGCCTCAAGCTCTGGTGTGTCTCATTTCAGTTTCAGAAGAACCAATCCAGTTTGGATTGTGAGCCTCCAGCTGAAATAAAAGCCATTTTTTTTCTGTAGTTGTATTGCCTCCCTGAGGAATCCTTAGTCTCCCTCTTTACTGTGATCTTTGATTTTTGCCTCCTGTGATGTTCATTGGTGCTTTACTTCAGTAGGAAATCCCCTTTTTTAAAAAAAAAGCCTTGTGATGAGTCACTGCTGCTGTTTGCTTCAAACTGAAGGGGGTTCCAACTATGAAATTGTATTATTGCTAAAATAGAACCCTGTTCCATTGCGTAGGTTGCAGCTGAAAGCAGAGAAAGGTCTGGGGGAGTTGTAGGGTGAGCAAGCAGTGTTGCTGCTAATTTGTTTACTAGAGGCCTAATGGCAATTCCAGTAACAAGTAAGCAGCTTAGGAGTCTAGTAGAGCAAAACCCATCTCTAGCTGAAAAGCAGTTCTGTATCTCTGAAGCTGAGCATAAAGAAGAAAAAACAGCCCCCAAACCATAATAGTTTGTTTGTTTCTAGCAAAGGCTATTAAAATCCATTCAGCAAGAAGCCTAGTTTGGTTTGGGCTTTTTTGTGTGTCTATGTTCATTAGGGATTCAAAATTGAATTGCTTTAAGAATGGTTCTTTTAGATGTGGAAGATTGCTTTCAGTTTTCTTCCTTCATTATAAATCTGGCTATCCTCATATCTATATTACTGTTGGTTTAGCCATTCTGCTTTAAGCTGCAATGTTCTGAAACCATAGTCTATCACTTTCTTTCATCTGAAGTAACTGCTGCAGAGCTCTGTCATGCTGGAGTTTTGACCAATTTCCAAACCCCTGTGTGTGCATACAGGAGATGGAGATTGTAATTTGAAGTAGGCTTTGGTCCTGTCAGGGATGCAGGTAATCCAGGTCTACCCTCTGAATGCTGACTTTGCACCCTCTTTCAGCTCTGGATTTCCTTCCTTATTTTTAGAGTTCACCCGAGAACTTCTACAGGCTACAGCAAAACAACCCCCCAAATTACAAGAGGCACCATTTAGAGGCATTTTGTATCAATGTGTTCAGTATTAAAATAGAGAAGGCTGTAGTTAGTGAGCATTGAAAAGGACCATGACGCTGCTGATAGAGCCACAGTAACACTTGAATTTAAAGAGAGTCTCACTACTGGTTTTACAGCATATTGCTGGAAAGGAAATAAGTTAATAAAAGCCACAAAGATGTACCATTTCCCATGGCCTTTGACTAATGCTGTAAGAAAGAGAGCAGTTAAAAAAACACTCTGAGCTGAAGGTGGGGGGGATTTCCTAAGGAAGAATGCTTAAGAATGCTTGGAAAGGGCCTTGCTCTGAACCAGACTGGGAGACAGACAGTTCCTAACTTCCTGACTGGAGTGCCTGTGCTGAATGGGAGGACACAGCTCCATCCTTCAACCCCCAAAATGCTTTTGGGTTAGCATCTCTTCAAAAGTATTTAATGCTGAAGACTCAGAATCCCATAGCAATGCTCTATAATGCCTGATTTGCTTGCCTGCCCTCAGGCAATGGGAACAAAGGCTGAATATGCTTTTTTAGGAGTTTAGGTTGAACTAACCTTGAATGCTTGCAAACATTTAGAAGACTCACAAGTAGTAATCTATCAGACTCACAGACACTCTGCTGTGGTTTAAGGCTTGCTTCAAAATAGGATGCACAGAGAACTGCAGAAGCTTAGACTAAGGTCATGATTAATAGGTGGATAAATATCCCTACATTATAAAACAATCTTCAGTGTTTAATGCTTTTCCTAGGTTGTAATTGCTGGGGAAGTACATAAGGGAAGTAGAACCTTGTTTGCTACAACATTTCAGTGCTCCAAGAACTTGGTTTTTTCTTATTTTTTTTATTCTTAAAGGAAAATAAAAAAATACCCCACCTTATCTCCTCTCCAGCAAATGGCTTTTCCTTACATCATGTATAAAAATTAATCATTTTAATAACTTTTTTCTTTGCTGTTCAAAGAAGTTTTACATTTTTCTTGATTATTCCCCAATGCCTATACACTGCCTCTGTCTATGTTTTATGAGTAAAATCTAAATAACACAAGGGTACAGTTTCCATAAAATTAAGGTCATATGAGGTGGAAACAGCAGCCTAAGATCAGGAGTTCCTTCATTTTTATAGTCCTTTTGGTTGGTAACAGGAAACAGCTCTGAGGCAGTTTGCTTGTAGGATATATAGGAGTGTTTGCCTTTATAGATTCGTGTGTGTGTGTGTGTCTACAGGCTTATGGGATGGAGAGCTGCCTTAGGAATATTTGGATCTGGCTTCTAACAGCCAGCGAGCTCTCTCTTGTGTGGTTATTAGCTTTACCACACACTTGGAGAACAATATTGCAGAGTTGTAAGCAGATATTACTCTTGATTTCACAAAAAGGGAAAATTAGATTCATATGCTTCATGGGGAAGGTGGGGCAGACAACTTCTGCTTCAGTGCTATGGTGAATGCTGGTGCTTGTGGAAAGGTCATCAGATCCTCCAGAGAAGCTGGGAAAGAGTACAATTCTCATCTGAAGTGTAGATGTGTCACATCTCCCCACTTTCCTCTCCTCCAAAGTGCCTTTCCTCCTGTCCACCAGCAGCCAGGATACCTCCTCTGAGGTAGCCTCACTTCTCTTTGTCCTTGGTCAGCTGCAAACCCAGGTGGAGGCATCTTCCTCTCTTCAGCCACCTGTGCTGAGGGCAAACAACACTATCTCTCACTGGGTGCATCAGAGTTATTTCCTTTCTTCCTTTTCTTACTTTGTTTCTTTTTTCTTTTTATTTTTAACTCAGACTCATGTTGTTGTCTGTCATCTTATTCCATTCTCAGCCCTGTCTGTGGAGGTATCCACTGTTCTGGGTGAACACAGTAGTTCATTGCATTCCTTGCTGCTGAGATAAAAATCAGGGACCAGAAAAACTTAGTTTTGTGATAGATCAAGTTGTTGAGAAAATTCTGAGTCCTCTGGGATCTGTGTCTGATTTTATTTTTGCAGCTCAGCCAAGAAATAGCAAAAGGCAGGCAAGTGTCTGCAACTTGCAGGTTTTAGCAGTCCCTGAATCTGGGTGAAAATGCTTTGCTTCCTGCAAAAATACCATGTCTCCATATAGTAAAGGTCAATTTTCTGTCAAACCACTAAATGTTGCTTTAAGATCTCATTGACGTAGATAGTAGTAAATTTAGAATAGCCCCAGGGCTGACTTTTCTCTCTTGGTAGCTGGCAAACAGGTGAAAGTGTGTATGGATAGGGAAGAAATCTCTCAGAAGTTGGTGCTGAAAGAGAAGATGCTTTCTTGGAGGATTTAGACACTGCTTAAAATTAGGTTTAATTCCAATTTGGACCAGAATTTAAACACTGCAGTACTTCAGTAAAAAATGTAGTGGTGGAGACCAGTGAGTGGGAAACCAGTCAAGGTGGTCTTATTGACAAAAAATAAAGCTTTGTAGTCAAACCTTCCTGACAGTAAGCTGCATGCTTGAAGTTCGTGGGATTGACAAATGTCATGACAGGGATGTTCCCACAAACACAAAAAACAAACAGGGATGTTCCCACAAACACAAAAAAGGGATGTTCCCATGATCCCACAAACTTTGCTACTGCTGGAACCTGCTGCTGGCCTGATGTAAAGCCTTGTTTTCATACTTGATGTTATATCGACTTCATGAGCACCTTCAGGAAAATCCAGTGAAATAGCATAATATATTTGAGTAAAAGCAAGGAATTCATAGAATCACCATCTGAGACCTCATAAAGGAGCTGTGACATTTCCAATTTTTCCATAAGGAAGAGATATTTTGTTGTGGGTGGTCTTCTCTTCACAGCTAAGCAGTAAAGCCACACAGTGAGCAGGAACAAAATGGGTGGGAAGTGCCTTGACTTTTAATACATCTCAGGCAAAAGCTGTTTTAGTCCAAGCTAAAATCAAAGCAGTTCACTAAAATTTAGGGTAGAGCTGGGCAG